AAGAATGCTTTACACTTCAGGTATGTGTGTCACTGATGGAAAATGACTCTACCAATTAAAAGTAAAAGCTGATAGACATGCTCTTTAGTTTTCAAATGTCAGTGCAATACACCTGAACTCTACAGTAGTGGACACAGCCAGGAAGTCTGCAGTGAAGTTTAATGCACTGTTATAAAGTCTGGATATGGGCACAGACAGAATATACAGACAGTAGGAGATGGTGGAGAGGACTACTGCATGCAGGTAGGCATATGTCCCTGTTAATGCTCTGCTTAGAATGTTCCAAAATACTGCATTAATTGCACTGTACAGCAAGCAGTTAGCGTCAGTTAGCGTTAGCCACAGAGCTGTATATAAATAGTTGAGTCATCTGAAATTCAAACAACTGATACAGACACGCCAATGTCCCAAGGCACTCCCCTCCTCAAACTCAACATTCAACACTTTTTTATGTCATAAACAGACAGCTGAAACATTATTATTTAATGTGTACATGTCTAACTGTTCACCTGTGTGTATGTGGGGCATGAATGTACACCTGCTGGGGCCACGAGGCATGGAGACAGCAGACATACCTGAGAGGAGGAGCTGTGTAAACAGAGCTGCACAGGCCTGAGGATCTGGAGCAGTCCTGCAGAAGGTAATGTGAGATATTAGGAGTGTCTGAGAGGCTGACAGCACAAACCAGTGAGATACAAGCAGCAGGCTCAGTCTCAGCTCCAGACCTACTGATAATTACAGCATTGATTATGTTAGTGCTGTCAAGGATAGACTATTTATTTTACTTTATTTTAAAGTGGCTCATTTATGTCTTATGCTATCATGAAGTACAGCTACCAGTTTTGAATTGATTAAGTATGGTAATGTTTGCAAATATGAACAGAAATAATAACAAAACAGCAGAATAAAATGTAAATGGGTCTCTTTAAAGAGGCACTATGTAAGTTTTTAGATTCAGGGTTGGAAACCTTCTTTTCTATGGAGGTGTCGTTTTGCCTGATATGTTCCACAAAATATTAAACTTGGCAATTTCCATAGAGACAAGCAGGTGACACCACCAAGCAGTTTTTAGCAAAATAAATGTTTGGAATTGAATAAAAGAAAGAGATGCATGATACCATACTGTGAAACATTGCAGCCAAAGCAGTGATTTTTGTGAAAAACAACTGACAGGTAAAATGTTTGTGTTCCGTGGCACTGGAGTGAAAAGCTTTCGTTTGTTGTCCATGTCTGTCTATATTAAATAACATTCCAACTGAATTAAATAAAATTGAAAATCATGATCAAACAATATGAAGAATATGAAAGTGGTTTTATGTCATATTGCACAGTCCTTAAAACTGTGATTTAGCCTTACAGATGCTACTCCAATGACCTCTTTGACCACCAGTAAGTCAATTACACTATTCAGGTAATGAGCGTCTTAATGATCGATTTAGAATCAGGTTGAATAGGGTTTGAACTCTGACCTCTTAACCTTGTGTTGTTCTTTAATCTCTTTATTTCATCATGGGACAATAATTTATGCAATATTGACTACCTAAAAAATGTACACTCCATTAATGTATTAAAAATCATAGAACTGCAAATAATTAAATGAGACTGTTTTATGTCATATTTCTTGTTTTTTATGTGATTGTGCAACCCCAGTGTGAGAAACCGCCGCTCTCTCTCACCCCCCTCCACCTCTTCCTCCTCGGCTTCCGTCTTCATCTCCATGACGATTCGCATTCAACGATGTCTTTATTTGTGATCATCCCTTGGCAGTGTCGCTTGCCAGTCAGGCTAAGCCATGCCAACCTCTCCACTCGTGCCAATCCAATCAGTAATCGCACAGAGGGCTCCATGCCAAAGGGATACAGCCGTTTCACATACACACTCGCACACTCACAACTGCTTTATTCAACCCACGTTAACCTGTTTGAGCAACCTGTTCTTGCTAATTTATTTTCATAGATCTGATGCCATATTGACAGACATGCCTGGGTCAACTGAAGTCAATAGCCGTGGGAAGATGGCATTACAAGACAATGGCTTGTTTAAAAATTGATTTCAAGCAGACTTAGGTTTTATAGCAAAATAGTAAAATGTGAAGAATACAAAAGTTCATAGTTTGGCTGCCAATATTGAAAGTATCAGTTACGTTCGCGAAAGCCTCTGGACTTGTGTGCACCTGTGTAACATTTCAGTAACCTCGTCACACCAGGGTCACATACAGATCACAGACGTGGGAGTGCCTGTTTAGTCTGTTATTTTACTGTGAAATATGATACATGTTTCTAATGAACTTTTCTGATTACATTTGTGTTCATCCACTTATATCGAAACAGCCTACAGCCTTGAGTGGGTTAGTTTTATCTCCCATAAGGCGTGGCCTGCTTGGAATTTCCAGTTTTGCTTCTGGGACTTGCAACTACTGATAAAAGGTGCAGACAGTATTAGATTAGGCAAACATTTTGATCCTGCTTAAGTTGTTTTGGTGATTTTTGATTTATTCTGTGGGCACTTTGAGTGTATTATTTCATAAGGCTGCACTGCACTTAATACTTTAAGTACACAGCATTGTGCTTAGTGTTATGACTGTTTATGTTGCACAATATATGATGTGTGGGTGACATGAGCAGCTGAAACAGCTAGAACTTATTCACAGAGGCCAAAACTGACTCCATCATGCCTCTACACCCTAGGCCTGGTGTGATAACTACAATATCGACTTATTGTTCAATATATACTTTTTCTTAGTTTTATGTAGTATTAGGTCTATATGATGACATTTGAGTTATAAATGAGCCAATAATTAACATAAATAACACATTGTAAATACTAGAACTAACTGCTTTAGTGTTTTATATTTATATACTATATTTATTTACACTATTTATATACTGTCAGCCAAAATATGTTCACTTAGAAAAGGCTTTAGAGTAGGGATGTAACAATAGCTGAAATACTGTGATATCGTATCGTCAAAATTCTCACAATAATATTGTGGACCATCATAATATATCAAATTACAACTCTCTCTGTGTGTAAAATTAAGCGTTATGGTGCAACAATAAGACAGGAGAAACTACATAGACCATGATCCTTTGCTCCATTTCAGTGTAGACTACATGAATAACAGTTCCAAGCACTTTAAAGTCTTAATTATTTGGATGAAGTCTTGTCAAGACATTTTAAGAGTAGCATATTAACAGTTTTGTTTGTCTCCACAAAATATCACAATAAATATCGTACTGTGAGATGTATAGAATGAAAATATTGTACAGAGAGATTTGGATATTGTTACATCCCTACACTCCTACATTAGAGTCCTACTTTAGAGTCATTATTCTGCTTTAAGGTTCTTGTGAAAGTCGTATAAAATGATTTCAATAATATCATTTATCATGATATTTTCAGACTCTAAATATTGCACTTGAAAATGTATTATCGTGACAGATCTATTGTACCTCACCAAAAACTGTACTGAAAGAGTGACATACTAGATTAATAAAGCGACATTTGACAGAGAGACTTTGCTATTTTATTTGAAGTGGCAGCAGTTCATTGCATTATACAAGTTACAAGTGTTTTATTGCACCTCGGGGTATACAGCCACAGATGATCTATAAATTACTTATAAATAAAATATACAGTTTCTCATTTTCTGACTCTATAAAACTTCTAATAAAAAAAGAAAAAGCACATCTGGCGTACCTCTTCACCTGGCCGTCATATCTGTGCCATTGAAGCACTCGTCTTCAGAGAAATATTCACTAGTGGTTTTTAGTTGTAAATAAAATACGGCATTTACAAATTTATAGCTAATCTATTCCTCTATAGCAAAGTTTATAAGAAAGGATAGTTGATAGATAGATAATTGTTATAGGTGTATTGTGTAACTTTTCTGGTGAAGGGTCTGTCAAATGCTTTTCTTCATGGAGATGCCATTTCTTCATGTCTGGAATGCTTCACAGTTTGGTATTAAACTTCTTCTTCATGGAAAAATAACCAGACCAAGTTACAGGTCAAATCTGTGGATAGGCAACCCTACTCGCAGTCAAAATGCTGTTTTTTCTAGGTATTTTGAGCTATAATACATTCTGTAATTGAAGAAATGTTAGGTAGATCTGTTTAATGTCATACTGTGAAAGATTCCAGGCAGAGCAATGACCTATCTGTAGAAACAAGCGGTGATAGACAAAAAAAGTTGCTCAGTGCACCTTTAAACTAAGATGACATTTAGGATCTATACCCAAATTCCACAGCACAATTAAGCTCTTAATAGCATTTATAAATGGTCTAATCTGTCAGCATCACCCAGCTTTGTCTAAATTCAGTAATATCTTTTAATATTCAATGCAAACAACATATTCCCTTTATAAAGTCCTAGTCAAACAGCACTTGGTTACAGGAGCTACAATAGTGGGGATAGGCCTATTCTCATGCCCTTCACTCTTGCATCAGTATTCCAGTTGCCGTCGTGGGCCTCACCATGTGGAGGTTTGACACCAGCAGAGAGCCAGAAGGACTTCATGATCATAATTAATCTGAATTATAACTCATTTACATGTGTGGACGTGGCACAGCTGCACTTAGATCAGACGAGAAGCAGTGTACCAAGACAATGGCGTATGTATCATAATTAATTTTGTGTGGTTATTTTGATCATACAGCATAAGAGAGTGTAAAGGATTTATATAGACACTATAATTTGTCTTTATGTAGTAAATAATAAATGTATTTCATGTGATGTCTTAATATTACTGAGAGAAAATTGGTTTAAAATTAAGTCTTTTAAAAATGGCTCCAAGAAATCAATTCTAAATTCAATCATGGCCAATATGGATACTGCAAGATAAAACCAGTTTACTATAGTACCACAGCGAGATCAGTCATCATTAAGTGGCAATTATTTTTCCTTTAATTCATGGATAATTACATTTAACTGTCACAATAAAACTAAATTATAATGATGATTATGAAATTCAGTCTTCAAATATTCAACTAATCTCCATACTCAGTTAATAGAAAAATACAAGGCTTTTCTAGCTTTCAAAATTAATGACTTTATACTGAAATATTGAACTTAAACGTGCATTGTGCAGCTTTTCTGGTGGAGGGTCCGTCAGATGCTTGTGTCCATGGAGATGTTATTGCTTTTCCTGGAGTGTTCCATGGTACGACATTCAACACATTTAAATATTATTTTCTCATTATGGGTGCTTATTGCTCATAATTGCTTATAAATCCGAATAATAAATCACTCCTTCTGTAAATAGGGTTGCCTCTCCACAGATCTGACCTGTCTCCCTTGAGATAGGTGGGTTTAATTTCTATCGTGGAACATGTTAAATAAAGCAATAACATCTCAAAGAAGACAAACAGATGACAGACCCTCCACCAGAAAAGTTGGACAATGCACCTTTAAAATAAATATATATTCAAATACAAGAGTTCTTCATGTTATTTAAGTGTCATCCATTGGACATGAGGTGCTATAAGTAGATATAGGTAGATGCAGGTTGGCTATTATCTTTATTAATCTATATTTACAGCTAACATCTCTTTATAAACAGACCCCGTATTTACATGTCTCTCCAAGAGGTCAGTACTTTTTCACTGCGTTTATTGTGTTAAATAAAAATATATTGTGGTTAGTAAAAACAATACAAAAATACATATGTGCACTTTACATCACAGCAGCATTCATCTCCTCCCAGAGCTGTCAGAATAACTGTGGTTCAATCCTCTGTCTCTGTGTACAAAACCCTGTGTCTCCTGAAGGTCAGCGAGATTCCCATGGTGACAGCAGCACAAACGCCATGGTAACCAAGGTCAAAGGTAAGTGACGGGCGGCGAGTGGATGGGCACCCCCTCGGACAGCCACCTGACACAGACAGGGGACAATAGAGTAAGAAGAAAAGAGACAGAGAGAAGAAAGAGAGAAGAAAGAGAGAAGAAAGAGAGCGAGGGTGTGTGGGGCTGTACCTGTGGAGGGGGGAGCTGATGTGGGGGGAGGACACTGCGAGGGGGAGGTGCTACATGCTCTGTCTTGGGACTGAGGCCGCTGGATGACTCACCTGAAAATATAAGAGAATAATAAATACTGAACTGCCAGGGCTCAGTAAAATAAATGCTTATATACCAGGGTTCAATCTGCTGTACAGCCTTTGCCATAGGAATGTCACGATAATAGATTTTGAAGTCCCGTATATTGCTAAAGTAAATATAGATGATAAATGGTAATACTGAACTCAAACTAAAAATCATTAAAAGATATGAGCTGCAATAAATAAATAAGAAAATGTAACACTTAAATAGTTAGCTTGTGTCTATAATGAGTCGTAAAAGTTCATAATTCAACCCTCAACAGTTCAAATCTGATGTTGTACAGATGTATTTATTAAATCATAGTAATATCTTTCTGTATTATCATGTGCTCTTATATCTGTGTAATCCTTCCATGGTCCATGGATGTATACTGTGTGCTCTTTTACTTGTTCTGATACAGCTCAAGATCATTCTAAAGATATTCAAGGTTAATTTCTGTAATGTGAATGTGACGTTTTAGTATTGATAATCTAGTTTCAATACTACTTTTATTACTAATTAGTATTTGATACCCTCTCCAGATCTTAAGCTATGCTTGGTCTGGACCTTAACTGAAGGATACTATCTGGTTTGGGAGCATAACAAAAAAAAACACAAACAGTTTCACCATATAAAATTACAAACTATTTCTTATAAGTATGCATGGAAGCCTTTAGGTAGGCAGTTGTTTGTGGCGCAGACAAACTGAGCCATTCTCCAATCAATATATTTATTAGGCCAGTCTAGGCTGCATAAATGATGATGATCAGGAAGGACATGCAGTGTAACACATGCCAGATTAAATACAAGTTATAAGGTATTTACTTCATTTTAAAGAGCCTATGGTATTTTCTGTTGTTATAACGCTGTTTCCTCATCATAAACATATCTGGAGTTGTGTTTTGTTTAACACACAAATCCTGCATGTTTAGGCTGAGTTCTTGTCCCAAACAAAAAACACTCTCCTTGTGATGTCATGTAGTAATACAGGAAGTGCTCCACTGTGTTTTTAAACTCCATACACCTTCACTAGAATCATTTGGATGATTTCAGTCCTGGAATTTCCTGTGTCTACTAAACAAAAAGAAGAAGGTAGCTGTTAACTTGAAAATTACCGCTTCGTGACATCACAAGGTGGAACAGAGCATTTTGAACTTTGGAGATGTAAACAGATAAATAATAAAGGCAGCATTATAACACTGCATAAAGATCACTTAGGACCTTTAAGTGCGATACATTTTTATTCAGAAAATGTGAATGCTCCAAGGGTAAATCAACAGTGGAGCCTGTAGTCTACAAATCTTCAAGGATGCATTTTTATTATGTAAGGGCTGAAATGTGTTTCAACGTTATATAATGAAGGATTTTTATTTTATATCACCGTGATTTCTCTTGTTATTTTTTCAAGGCCCCATATTACGCAAACTTTACTCTTCTGAGATTTAAGACGTGTTAGAATGTTGTTATGCTCATCAAAAACATATCTGGAGTTGAGTTTTGTTTCATTCACACATATCTGAGTAATCATTTATTATTTGTCTACATCTCATGAAGCTGTATTTTTCAATTTAACAACTACCCTTTACATTGGTTCAGTGTAGACTGGCAATTCTAGGGCTGAAATTATCCAAATGATTCAAATGAAGGTGTATGGAGTGTTTTCAGTTTGAGAGAAAATCTTATCCTAAATATGCAGGTTTGTGCGTTAAATGTGTGAATGAAACAAAACACAACTCCAGGTTTTTGATAAGGAAACAACATTATAACATAGGTCAGAAAATAGTGCAGTATGGGCCCTTTAATAATGTTGGATTCCACTTTTTATACTGTAAATTTATGTTACTACAACACATCCTAAACACATTTCACTGCCATCCAAGAGCTTGCAAAAACCAATTAACAGTTAAAATCTAAATCTTCAAATCCCCTCATACATAAATCTATCCATGCAATTTGAGCATTTGTGGAAGTCATTTCAGTTTTTTTCAGTTTTTCAGTGTCAGTTTGTGCATTATTTACTGCTGTTACGTTGTTGTTCGGATATGAAAGATTTATGGACGCGACCCCACCCACACTCGGCTTTGCACAAAACAAAAACATATGAACACGTATGAATATGAAACAGCAGCTGGCGAGGACTACCCGGGCATTTGGGCATTAAAGATACCACCACGGTCACATCTGTGAACTGGCAGGGGTCCAATCGTCTTGTGGGGCGTCCAGGTAAATTAATGGATTAGGGTACCACCAACAGTCTACCAGTTAACACACAAAATAACACAGAGGCACGCACACACCTTGACAAGAAGAAATTTGATTCTGTCTCCTACAATAGATATAATAGACATTGTCCCCAAGCACAATAGACAAAGGGAGGCTTTCAGCAGCTGGGGAATGAGGCGAGTTTGGGCCCATGATTCAGACAGAAAGAAAAAACACTCCACTACTGTCAGATGGTGATGTTTATTTATATATGACTACTTCAAAGACACTGTCGGATAATCTCCTGTCCATAGAAGAAGGCTTTTTTTTGGTTTGTGATGCCTTAAACTCAAACAAAAATTCAAATATGTGTGCTTTGTTGTGCGTTTTTGACAGGTGTGAGATGGTGAACAATGTGTGTATTTGTTTTGATTGTGTGCGGTGGACTGGTTGGGAGACCGGTGCTGAAGTTGTTCCCAATTTGAATGAAGAATGAACGCAATTTGAAAACCGAAAAATATAACCTCGAAATGTGGTAACAAAACTAGTTATTTCTGTGGTGAACCTGCGTAAATTGAAAATGTTGCAGAGAAGTTCATGAGGAATGAGATATACAGTACATTATGTTAAAGATGCACTATGCAAATTTTCTGGGGGAGAGTCAGCCACCAACTTGTCTTCATGAAGATATGATTGTATTGCCTGGGTCCAGCGTTAGGGTTAGGAGTCATACTTTATTATCCCGAAGCAAATTTGTATTTCAGGCAGCATACAGTACATAGCGCAATATCTAATATAATATATAATAATAATTAATATAAATGTATTAAATTATAGTGAAGAGTTGTATGGATGAAAAACACGCATTCTTACTGTAAACATTCTAAACATTACTGTGAACATTCTTACTGTGTCACATCTCCACAGATCTGACCAGTTACTTGCTTGTCTCCATGGAGATTGATATGTCTAATGATATTCTGTGATACATTCCTAGCAAAGCAATAACATTTCCAATGGAAACAAGTAGGTGATGGACCTTCTACCAGAAAGTAGAACCATTAATTCACTGTAGTCGATATGACACTACACATATATACTATACCACTGCTAAATGCAAAATATATAGATATTAGGGGTGTAACGATATCCAAGTCTCACGATATGATATTGTTATAGTATGAATCTCGTGGTACGATATTTATTGTGATATTGTGGGAAAGATCACGATTTGGTAGGGAGGCTCATGATTAGGGATGCAACAATATCCAAATCTCTCTGTACGATATTTTTACGATATACATCTCACGGTGCAGTATTTATTGTGATATTTTGAGGAGGCGACCAGAACAATATGCGACTTTTTCCTCTTAGAATGCCTTGACAAGACTTAATCCAAAGAACTAAGACTTAAAAGTACTTAGATCTGTTATTTCTTCATGTAGTCTGCACTGAAATGGAGCAAAGGATCATGGTAGTTCCCTCTGTCTGCACCCTAACTGTTAATGTAAGCAAAGAGACTTGTAATTCGATATATTGTGATGGTCCACGATATTATAGTGAGAACTTTGACGATACAATATCACGATATTTTGGGAATATATATTATAGGTAATGCTTTGTTAGAAAATAATTCCATATCCTCCAGTCCTCTGTACTTTCTTTTAAGGAGATTTGTCCTGGCTGTCTAAATTAGCATTCCTGTTGTGCGACAATGGGAACTGTGTACTTGTGTTGTCCTAAAACCAAAAACGCTAGAGGGACAATAGCCCCCTCCCACCTGCCCTGAGGCATGCGTCTCTAAGCAACAGTCCAGAACATGTCACATATGGCAGATAGTTTGGAAATATGTGCAGAGACACACACGGAGCAGGCCCTGAGTGATGAGAGGTGTCAGTCGTGCCGCTGATGGGGGGCCGTAACCTTTCTGGTGAGAAGGATGAAATGCCCGGCGTTAATAAGAATACAGGAGTGACATTTGAAGGATCCTGCCGCTGGATAGCATCACTAGATTGGTGCTCCGGGCACTTCAACCAAATCTGTCCACCTTAGTCCTGCATGGTAACATATGACACACTAACAGCTCCATTTATGCCAAGTCTGCCTCCCCAGCGCAGCTAAACTGACAGAGGAAGCCAGTGCAGAAAACAGACAAGCCAGACATGCATCATCCACTTTCCAAAAAATAAATGTGGACCATTCCCTGTCCAATAGCAATATGAATGTTCTGGTGAAATAATAAGGAAAAATGAAATGTAACCCAATGGAAATGTTCACCCAAGGGTGACACTAAGCGCCCTGAGCAGGTGGGCCAGGGCTATAAATCAGAGCCAGGGTGAGTCTCGAGAAACAGAGAAGCTGCCAAGTCTGCCACATCTGTTTCCCTCTCGCCAACAGGGGCACAGAGGACTGATCTAACTGTTGGGGATGCTAAATATGGGAGAATACACAATACATTTACTTACTAATCTATGAAAAGTAATGACGGTAGTTTTTTCTATATTGCCATGACCAACAGAAATAGTTTGTCTGTAAAATATAGTGGGATTATAGAGCTCATGCCCAGTGCATTAGTCCCTTGTGTATTTGAGACATAACTTTGCAATTTAAAGTCGGGATGATGACTCAGTGGTTTTAGCATAGGCACACAAACCAAACAGTTATCAGTTCTATCCATAGAATATATACATTGCAGTAACCTGAGAGTGGAAAAGAAGAGGCAAAGGCTGGAGTTCAAATGCAGGAGAGTTTAGTTTATTTGCTATATGACATTAAAAACCACATTGGA